AAAATAGAACTTTTTCAACTTAACTTTTGAAAATGTTCCGGAAATACTGCGTCCTTTAAACATATGTCAAATTAAAGCTTATGTCATGTACTATAAAATTAAAAAAAAAAAATTTTCCCGACGACCTATCTTCTATGCGCAAATGGCTACCGTATTCAAAAATATCCTATTTTTGTATTAAAATTCTGGGTTTTGTATTTTATTTTATTTTAAAATATCTTATTAGGGGTATACACTGATTTTGTGAATATTATATAATTTAATAGACATAGAACAAAGTTCATAAGATATAAAAAATTAAACTTATTAAACATTTTTTACTTTTTTAAAGTCAAAAAAGTAATTTTTAAATTTGAGTTAGCTTAAATAGCCAATTTTATCATGCGACAAAATCAACGAACAGTTGCCGATTCGGTAACACCTGTACCTTTCAAGCTTAGGGTACGAGATACAAATCCGTCTGTGGCGATCAATATTTTGCATTTTTTTTAAGTTAGAAAAAAATTTTTAAATCATTTAATTTTTACCTCATTTAGATTCAATAACTTCAATAAATATAAAGGATCCTATCACTATAGTCTCCCCTCGTGAGAAATAATTTATATTCATGTTAATATTATTTTACTATGTGGTTCTTTTTGTGGCTACAATTTATTTTGCCAACCCTCACTAGACCTACTTTTTTCAACGATACGTCAAATGATTACAATTCGTATTTAGTTTAAGTTACTACTCTTAAAAATCGAAAAAATATTCCTTATTCAAATAAAAAGTAGCTTAACCAGCTTTTTCCATATAAACAATTAAAATCATTAATTTCTAATATTTTTAAAGTATTTATTGTCGAATTAGATAGATTTGATATGATAAAAGTATTCAACTAGAAAAGTAAATAATTTTACTTTGTAATTTATTAACTTTTTAACTCTATTGTGTGTGCTACTATCAGTCTATAATATTCCAAATTTTAGCTTCGATGCGAAGCTGAGAAGGTATTAATTTTACCATGATGTGTTTATTTTTTTATTTTATTTATTTTTTTTAGCATCGATGCGAAGCTGAGAAGGTATTAATTTTACCATGATATGTTTATTTTTTTTTATTTTTTTATTTTTTTTTGTGTCTGTCACTACTTTTTCTCAGCTCTCACTGGACCGATTTCTTTTAACAATACGTCAAAAGATCACAAATTGTATCTAGTTGAAGACATTACCCTTAAAAATTTAAAAATTTTCCCTCGTTCCCCGCAAATGGGGGAAATATCCAAAAAAATTACAAATTTAAAAATCGACAAATTTTGTCATTTTTTTCACTTTTTTTTCTTAAAACTTCCATAACTTTTTCAAAAATCAACAAATCAACATAATTTTTTTTTAAACTAAAACCTTAGATAATTTTCTTTCATTTTATATAATTATTTTGCAAATTTAACACTTAACCTGCTCATGGGGGGGGATTTAAAATTGTAACTTTTTTACAAAAACTAACTTTTTCAACTTAATTTTTGAAAATGTTCCGGAAATACTGCGTCCTTTAAACATATATCAAATTAAAGCTTTTTTTATGTATTATACAATGAAAAAAAAAATTTGTCCCGATACCTTATCCTTCTGCATGTAAACGGCTGCCGTAGTTAAAAAAACACTATTTTTGTGTTAAAATTTTCGATTTTCAATTTTTAATTTTCAACTTAAAAATGCTATAACTTTTCGAAAAATGCATGTATCAGCACAATTTTTTTTTTTCTAAATACATTATAAGTACATCTTCCATTTGACATACTTTTTATTAAAATTAGACAATTTCCCCTTATATAGGGGGGGTTCAAACTTTGAAACATTGTATAAAAAATAGAACTTTTTCAACTAAACTTTTGAAAATGTTCCGGAAATACTGCGTCCTTTAAACATATATCAAATTAAAGTTTTTTTTATGTACTATAAAATGAAAAAAAAAAATTTGTCCCGACACCTTATCTTCTATGTGCAAATGGCTGTCGAAATTATAAAAAAAATGTAATGTTTACGATAAAAATCACCTTCTATCGGAATGTTTTTTGTACTTAAAACTGCCATAACTTTTTCAAATATTAACTAATCAAAATAATATTTCTTTATATTGAAACCTTAGGTAATTTTCTTTCATTTTATATCATTTTTTTTTGAAAATCTAACACTTATTCTGCTCACAGGGGGGATTTAAAATAGCAACTTTTTTACAAAAACTAACTTTTTCAACTTAATTTTTGAAAATGTTCCGGATATACTGCGTCCTTTAAACATAAATCAAATTAAAGCTTATTTTATGTACTACTAAATGAAAAAAAAAAATTTGTCCCGACGACCTATCTTCTATGCGCAAAAGGCTACCGTATTTAAAAATATGCTATTTTTTATTAAAATTCTAGGTTTTGTATTTTATTTTATTTTAAAATATTTTATTAGGGGAATAAACTGACTTTCATGAATATTATATAATTTCATTGACATAGAATAAAGTTCATAAGACATATGATATTATACTTATTAACATTTTTTACTTTTTTAAAGTCGAAAAAGTAATTTTTAAATTTGAGTTAGCTTAAATAGCCAATTTTATCATGCGACAAAATCAACGAACAGTTGCCGAATGGGTAATATCTTGAACTTCCACGCCTAGGGTACGTGGTTTAAATCCGTCTGTGACTACCAAAATTTTGCATTTTTTTTTGGAGTTAAAATAGAATTTTCAAATCATTTGATATTTATCTCATTTAGATTCAATAATTTCAATAAATATAAAGGATCCTATCACTATAGTCTCCCCTCGTGAGAAGAAATTGATATTCATGTTAATATTATTTTACTATGTGGTTCTTTTTCTGGCTACGATTTATTTTGCCAACCCTCACTAGACCTACTTTTTTCAACGATACGTCAAATGATTCATTTAAGTTTATGATATTTAAGTTAATGATTAGTTTAAGTTATTACTCTTAAAAATCAAAAAAATATTCCTTATTCAAATAAAAAGTAGCTTAACTAGATTTGTCCATACAAACAATTAAAATCATTAATTTTTAATATTCTTAAATTATTTATTGTCGAATTAAATTTGATATGATAAAAGTATTCAACTACAAAAGTAAATAATTTTACTTTATAATTTATTAATTTTTTAACTCTATTTCTGTGTGCTACTACCAGTCTATAATATGCCAAATTTTTTAGTAATATGTTGCTATATAAATCATAAATTTAAAAAAAAAATGATTTTTAGTTTCACCTGAAGTTAACGATGGAGTTTTACAATTATAATTATATTTTTGATAATATGCTCAATTGAGTAAATCTTTTTAACTACTTTGGTTTGATTGGTTCATTTAATTAAAGTAAATTATTAAAATTAATTAAGTTCTGAATATTTCAATTGCAGAATTTTTTTAAACACCAAAAGTTATTAGGATATGATTACTATTCTTTCTATTTCAGTTATCTATTACGATAAAAATGTAAAAAAATCGAATTTTTCTGACAAATGTACTGTAATTAGTAATTATAAAATTTCCAGATTGCATATTAATCTTAAAAATTTCATTTTTTTCAATTTAATAATGTCAATTTCAAACTTGCAAGTTGAACTATAAGTTATGGTAACAAATTCATTTTTTAGCTTCGATGCGAAGCTGAGAAGGTATTTTTCATTAAAACTTTCACTTTAAAAGACAATAAAAAATAGGTTCAAAATGATTACCTTTAACATATTAAAAATCAAAATCAGTATTAATTTAATACAATTTTTTTTGTTCTTAATTATTTTTTTTTATATGTAAATACTTATTTTTTAATAATAAGTAATAATATTAAAACTTAGAAGTAATAGAAAAAGTTTAATTGCACATTTGAAAACATCACGAAAAGTTTATTTAGAAAAGTATATTTTTTTTCTGATGAAAGTTCCTTTTGTTTAGTGTATTTATTCATAAGTAACAAAATTTTTTTATTAAAAAGTATTGCATAAATTCCTTTAAATTTGTATACGCATTAAAAGTATATGAATATACAACTCCTTTTTATTTTTATAATATCTCCGTAAAAATTACAATATTATATTATTGAATACCACTTTCATACTCAATTTAATTACTGTAATTATTATGTATTCATATATTATAATTATAAATCGGGGTAAAATTAAGGGAATAAGTGTTATTGTTGTTTTTGAAATACTCTACCAATTTCATTTTTTTCTATTTAATGATATCTATTTCAAACTTGCAAGTTGAGTTAAAAGTTATGGTAATAAATTCATAATTTTTTTTTTTAAACTTTCACTTTAAAGGACAAAAAGAAGTTGGTTCAAAATGATTACTTTTAATATATTAAAAATCGATAATAATTTGAAAATAATTAATTATAAAAATTATATAATAGATAATTAAACGAATTACTAATCTGGATATAATTATGGAAATAGGAGTTGATGTTGGGTTAGGTTGGTTACATTTTTAACTTTATAATGCTACAACTCATTGAAAAATGTATGAATCAACACAATTTTTTTATGAGAAATAATATTTTTTAATAATCCCTTTTTCATTCGACATTCTTTATCTTAATCTGGGTATAATTAGGGAAATAGATGTTGATGTTGCTTTTGTAATTATCCATCAATTTCTTAGAATTAAACACTATCTACAGATTTGCATCAAAGTGTTTCTTATGATAGTGATTTTAATCACTGTCAGATTAAATCCATACTGGACCCAACTATACAATGTCCCCACTATGCCGCGACCCCACTGTGCTGGGTTTTTTTTTTAAAAACATCTTCAAGGCAACTAAACGTACCTCTCAATTATAATTATAGATGCCTATAAAAAATAAATATTTTAAGAGCAAAAAATTTAGATTTTTGCTAAGAATTTTATCATAACTAATCTAGACGTAATAGATAAATATAAACAAATTTAATTTTTGTAAAATTTAAAAAAAATGATAAACAATTAACTATGATTCATAATTTAATAAGATTAAGTTTTGTTAGATTATATATTTATTTAGACATTAATATATAAAAAACATACTGAAAAACAAATATTTTGAATTTTTGAGTAATACTTATACTCAAACATGTTATTATTCAAGCTTCATCATGAAATGGATAGTCTTTTAAATGTGATGCACTAGAAATAAGAAAATGTTTCTTAAAAAATATGAAGTAATTATTTGAATAGCAAAACTTACGTTTCGAATTTATAGTAGCGGATGTTTCTGTCTAATGATTCGAGTAATTCTATTTCATCCTTACTTAATTCAAAATCCCATACATCAAAGTTGAGTTTTTGTCTTTCTGGATTTCCTGATTTAGGGATAACTAAGAGACCTCTTTGAATCTAAATAGTATGAAAAATATTAATAAAAATTTACTTAAAATTAAGAAAGATTTACTTGAAATTTGATTAATATTTGAGCTTTCTTTTTATTATGATTAGCTGCGATTTCAGCTACCACAGGTTCATTGAGAACTACATGTTCATCAGAAGCTGCCCATGATCTATGTGGTGATCCTAATGGTCCATAAGCTATCAAATATATACAATGACTGTCACAAAATTCTTTAAGTTTTCTTTGTATTAGATAAGGATGACTTTCAACCTGAATAAATTTTATTTATCAAAATAAAGATAAAAATATATAAAATTCAATATATTAATTAAATTCAATAATTAATACAATACTAAATAGTAGGATTCGTCAAGATATATTTTTGAACATCAATATAGTAGTAAATTTTTAGTGATATTATATTACAATAGCAAAAAAAAGTTGTTTCCAATATTGAAATACATCAATATTGTATGAAAAATAAATCTATATTCAAATAAATATTTAAATTTGTAATATTTAAATACTTTTATCAATTTTTATATTGTTAAGAATACTTTATAGTACTATGGTTGTATAGATCAGCCCATAGTATACCAACTAAATATAATGAAATTATCACCAAAAAATATAGATAATAGCTATACTCTGATAACTATTTAATATATTAATAAAATATTTCCAAATTACTTTTTGTTATTAAGAAGTAATTTTTTTTCTATTACGAGGCTTTTACATTATTATTTGGTTATATTAAATTGATGAAATAAAATATTAGTATTATAGTTTCAGTGTTTTGGTTTTAAATAATAATAATAAAACAAAAAATATTAGAAGTGGTGTTTGTATTTTTTATTATTTTTTATAACTAAAAACAATTTTCCTTTTTTTCACAAATAAAATTTAAACTTTTAAAATAATACAATAGATAAAACACCATCTTATTTTTCACTATCATCTAATAAAGATTTAATTTTTTTTGGACTCAATAATTTTATTTTATTTTTAGATTGAGTTTCAACCAGTTGTTGCTGTATATCTTCCAATTCTGAATTTCTTTCTCTAATTCTCTCCACACCACCTTACTTTATTCATTTTTAGTTAAAATTATGAATAAAAAAAAATCTCAAAATAATAAAAACTCAATCTGAGAATAGAATTTTGTATCAATAAATATAATTTTTCATCTTATTTGAATTTTATATATCGTAATATATTTTAATACAAAAAATGTCAACAAGATTATCAGAAACACTTTTTGGCCTAATATTAAATAATATATATTTTAAAATAAATATTGGAATGTGACTAAAATTCAAAGTTTATTTTTTTTATCTCAAAAATAATCAATATTGTACAAAATTCAACGATGTTGGTATCGAATCAAAACATTGATTTTATAGACAAACCCTACTGAATAGCGACCATAAGAGTTATAAATTATTATAAAACAATTTTAAAACAATACTTATGTATTGAAGAGTAGAAATAGCCTTTTCAAAAACATTTTTGATCTTACATGTTTTTTAATAACTATTTCAAAAACTCCCTAACTAATTTCTTTAAAGAGAATTGTAAGTTACATAATAGCACAATACTATACTTCTTATTCAGTCTAAAAGTTCAAAATATTTTTGAAATGGTAATAAAAAATATAAAATATATTTCATAAAAAATAAACATTTTGAGAGGAGTAATAGTTACATTAAATTTTAAGAACACATCCCATCACATGTTACTAAAAGACTAACAGAAAAATCAAAGATATTAACCTGATTAACAACTGGTTTGATAGAGGCGATTTCCAATATATCTTTTATTTGTTTAATATTAAAATTTGATAATCCAATAGACTTCACCAATCCTTTTGTTACACATTGTTCCATTGCCTTCCATGTATCTGTATAAGAAATATCAGATCCAAGTAAGCGACCTTCGCTATCAGTAGCATTAGGATTTTCCTGAAAAAGATAAATAATAATAATTTATTTTTCTTACTTTTATTAAAGGTTCCCATGGAAAAATAATATATCTATACCACCACATCAAAAACAATTTAATTTACAGAGTTAATTATTTTAATATGCTAAACACTAACACTTCTTAAAAGAAAAATTACCTCCTATAATATATTTCAGAAATGATAAAAATAAATCTTTTCATAGAAATTCAAACAAAAAACTAAATAAATTTTTACTTTAAAGTTATATTTAAATTTAAATAATAATATTGCTTATAATACTTACACTAACTGCAAAAGGCCAATGAATAAGATAAAGGTCTATATAACTTAAACCTAAATCATTTAATGTATTCTTCAATGTAACTTCAACTAATTCAGGCCTATGTTGGTCGTTCCAAAGCTAAAATCACATTAGCAAATAAACCATTATCAAAGAGTCAAATCATTAATAACATTATCATGTTATTATTAAAGAAGATTGTCTTGAGATAAATCATTCAAGAAACAATTAAAAGGCTTTTACAATAACATTTTTCTGAGTGGTGAATTTCCTATAGAATCGACTTAAAAACCTCATTATGACAAATTTTGTTTTAATAACTAATATATACATGGCCCTTTCATTTGGCATACTTTTTTTAAAAATCTGTCAATTTTTACATAAACATAGGATTCAAAATTCGAAACGTAGGTATAAAAAGTAGAATTTTATCAACATAACTTTTGAAAATGTTCCAAAAATCTTGAGTTCTTTAAAAAATAATTTTATTAAAAATTAATAATATACTACAAGTTCAAAAAAAAATGTGTACCAACGACTTGTTTTTTTTATATATGTTACAGTCTAGAAGTTAAGCAAATATGTTATTTTTATGTAAAAAATCATTTTTTAAGTTTCATAACTGAAATTATAATTAACTAACATAGGTAAAAATAATAAACTTTTTTTTATGATGATTCATTTGAATAAAAAATACTTAATTATTAAATATCAAATGTATGCTAAAAAAAATAATTTTTCAAGTAATTTATTTATCTAGAGAAAGTTTATAACTGAAATATATTTTTAAGAATGTGAGTTGTTCATGCTATACTTGGCAAAATAAAAAAATTAATTAATCAAGGTTACTTATAAATAAACTACTTTAATCTTAAATTACCTTGCTAGTAATAAAAATATCATCTCTTTTGATAATTCCTTCTTCAATTTTTTCTGCTATAGCTTTTCCAACTTCTTTCTCAATATTATAGTAGTAGGCACAATCAAAATGACGATAACCAATATCAATAGCACTCTTGATAGCCTGGCATACTGAGTTTTTGGTATTCTCATCTAAATCTCGAGATGCCTATTAAAAGAACAAAAACAATTATAATATTATTTTTAAACTAAGGTATTTAATAAATACCTGCCACGTGCCCAAACCTAGAGTTGGATATAATTGTCCATTATTAAATTTCACCATTTTTGATTCAGCCATATTTTTTTAATTTCAGCAAGAATAAGTATATAAAAATATTTGATTAACTATACTAGAAACTTCAATAAACAATATCTTTAAATAAGGTAATTATTATTTCCTGTTACATAAGAATAATAATTATTTCCTGTTACATAAGAATGATAATCTAAAGGATATCACTTGATCTTAGTAATTTAGTGGATGGTTGGTAGTGATAACAATTATAATTGATAACATGCACAGAATTATAATAAAACGTTTTATTATAAATCTGTCACCAGGTCTGTCACATGATCTGGATTCTACTTATAAAAATAATAATACTTCATTTACGCCAATAGTGCAAAATAGAGTATCAAAATGATGATTATAATTAGCTATAAGACTTAATACATAAACATATAAATAAATTAGTACAAAAAAAAATATATTTAAAACTTTTTAAAATTTATAAAATAACATAATATTATTGAACTCTAAAACATAATGATCAAACAATAAATTCACTATTATAATTAAAATAAAAATTAACTTTATTATAGCTAGTAAAATACGTTATCAATGTCCATTAAAACCGTGAGACATTGAGTGAAACAATTAATTTTTTGTAACTGAAGATCCAGAGAAAAATGAAACATATACAATTATTTCAAGTTCCGGATTATCTACTTTATTGTTTTAAAGATTATAAATAAATAATAAATCATTAAATTAGCATTGTAAAAATATAATGATATGAAACTTATAATTCCCAGAGTAATATTTCAAGACTTTATATTTAAACTTTAAGTTAATTATCTTAATATAAATGACGGATCGGGGGTTTTACTTGACAATCGAATAATAGGCTAAAAACAATTTATTCTATTTTTTACTAATGACATGATTCTTTTAATCATATACAAATCAAATAATTACATATAATAACAACATTAACTTAAAAAAAGCAGTAACATCACCCAGCCACTTGACACTTCTCCGCCGCGTGACATCGCAATGCTTTGAGATCTCCACAACAAATACCTCTTGGCCGACGTTAACAATCCTGAATGCCACGATTAATTTTAAAGTGACAAGACGCACTAACTCGACGGACCACAGAAAAGGAAACACCACCGGTGTGTGGACGCTAAGGACACCAACTCCAAGTATGGATTGAGTCTTTAGTAACCTTACGTTGGGGCTTCACCTATACACAAACCCAACAAAAGAAAACTATGTAAGCTCACTGGCTACGAGTCATTGGACTCAAGGGTTCGATATAACGTCAACCGCGGACACAAACGTAATGACAGCAAGGTGCCGGTAGTGCCGGACACGATTGTTATCATTACAATGAGAGGGGTAATGCGATTTCAAGCTACGTGGAGCTTGACCGGGCTACACACATAACTTTTGAACAAGCATAGTTGTAATTTTCATATGTTAACACAGCCGTTAATGTTTCATTTGAAATCAGTATTAACAAAACTATAAAACAAATAATAACTATTTCCTACTTCATATTCTATAGACAACAATAATATAAAATTATAACTGATAAAAATGGACACTTAACATTATTAAATTTAATAATTGTCACTGATCACTTCAGAACTAAGAAAATAGTAATGAAATGATCAGAATATACAACACATGTATTATTGATGCCTCACTTTGTGATACATTTATATTTAAGACCAACTAATTATTGTTTCATCAAACCTTCAAATCCAATAAAGCATTTCTTTATCGTAAATATTGTTCAGTTACTGAACTTCAGTAACATTATTAGTTAATATTTTAAAAATAATATATTAAATTAAAGAACGTTACAATAGTTGTGAATATTTAGTAAATAAAATTATCATAAGTATTTTGTTTGAAATTAAAATAAATGATTTAGTTTTTCATTTGTTGGACTATGTCTCTTTGGCGTCTTAAAATAATTTTACCATACAGGATTATTCAAAAAATCTATTTTATTTTTATATAAGCTAAATTCTAAAATTACTTACTAATTCAATATACTACTATACTTTAAAAGTTATAAAAAGTATAATATGCAAAGTATTTACTTGTGAGTTAAACATGTAACAAATTATTAACAAGAAAGAAACAACAGAGGCAGAAATTGCCAGTTCTCTTGTTGCTAAGAAAATGATAATGTCTGAAAAGGAGCATATATAAAAATGGTAATATTTGTCAATAATTTGCGGGAATGGCACAGAAATCACAATTAAAATTGCGTGTATTATATATTTTGGTCAGTGGTTAGCCACACGTTAAGTTATTCCGCCATAAGCTCACTAAATGAATTCGCGCTACTCTCAATAAAGTCATCATAGATCATGATTATATTTAAAATGTTATTATTTTATTAATTTACTAATTAAAGGTTAAATTATTATACAAAATTATAACTGTATATCAAAACTCTTTTATTTTGAACTTTGATCTGTCCTAGTACTTATAAAAAAATACTGAGTTACTTATAGAAAGCTGAACTTTCCTAGCGTTTGTGGGTCGCTTGAATCTACCGTGAATTAATATAATGATACTCGGGCGGAATCTAGATTGAATTCATTAATATTCATATGGCATAATTTTTTTTATTTGTTTTTAACAGACTCCAAAAAAAAATATGAGATTATGAATTCGGTTGTATATTTTATATTTGTTACCTCAGAACTCCGTCTTTTATAAACCGACTACGAAAATATTTTTTTTTTATTTAAAAGGACGTGCTTTTAAATTAGTTCCATAAATATATGATCAAAATTGGTTCAGTAGTTTTTAAATCAAAATAATTGAAAAAAAACGATAGCACAGTGGAGTCGCGGCACAGCATGGAATTGGCATAGTTAGGACAAGTATAGATGATATCTGACAATGATTAATATCACTATCATAAGAAACGCTTCGATGCAAATCTGTAGATGGTGTTTAATTTTAAGAAATTGGTATATTTTAAGAAAGATATATATATATAAGTATCAGTATTTCTGGAACACTTTCAAAAATTAAGTTAAAAAAGTTTTTACTTTCTATGTGCATTTTTATGTTTTGAACCACCCCTGTATTAAGGAAATTTGTCTGATTTAAAAAAACAGTATGTCGAATGAAAGATGTATATATATACTACTTCTCATGAAAAAATTGTATTGATCCATACATTTTTCAAAAAGTTATATTATAATAAAGTTAAAAATGTAAAATACAAAATCGAGAATTTTAACACAAAAATAGCATTTGGTAGCCATTTTCACCATGAAGACCAAATAAGGTCCGAAATGTTTTTTTTTCATAATAGAGTACATTACATTAGCTTTATTTTTAGTTATATATATATATAAAAGTGTCAGACTTTCCGGAACACTTTCAATAGTTAATTTATTGTGAAAAAGTTGTCATTTTAAATCCCCTGTGGCCAGGTGAATGGTTAAATTAATAAAAAAATATATACCAAATGATAAGTAAATACATCAAGCATCTATAAAAAAAAAAATTATATTTGTTTATTTTTGAAAAAGTTAAAATTAATACCTTCTCAACTTCGCATCGAAGCTAAAATAATTAAGAACAAAAAAAATTGTTTTTGATTATTAATATGTCAAAAATAAGGAAAATGATATATTTAACCTATTTTTTTTAACCCTTTAAAGTTGATTTTTGTAAAAGTTTATAATTAAAAAAAAATTAAGTTATTACCATAACTTTTAGCTCAATAGGAAATTTTATGAGAAATAAAAAAATTGTATCCATAAGATTATTATGCAGTCAGGAAGTTTTATAATAACTATTTACAGTAAATTTATCAGAAAAGCTCAATATTTTTTTGCATTTTTATCATAATAGATAACTTAAATAGAAATAATAGTAATCCTTTTCTTTAAACTATTAGTGTTTAAATTGATTATACAATTTAAATATGAACTGAATTAATTGAAATGATTTACTTTAACTAAAATAACTAACCAAAAAAAAGTTGTTAAAAAGATCTAAAAATCCATTGTTAATTCAGGAGAAACTAACAATCATTTTTTTTAGAAATTATTTATACAGCAATATATTACCAAAATATTTGGAATATTGTAGTCTAGTAGTAGCACACACAAATAGAGTAAAAAAATGATTAAATTACAAAGTAAAATTATTTAATTTTGTAATTGAAACCTGTCATATCGAACTTGATTCGTCAATAAATACTTTGAAAACATTCAGTGGCGTAACTAAACAAGCGCGTGCCCCCCCGCAGAATTTTCGATGGCGCCCCTCAACTAAATTTTACTATGCTTTCAATCATGTTAATTACTGATAAGGTATTGAGCATTCGTAATTTGGCGCCCCCCGCATTGCAGGGGTGTTATTTACGCCACTGAAAACATTATAAATGAATGATTTTAATTGTCTGTATGGAGAACATGGGATAAGTAACTGTTTAATTGATAAATTAGAATTATGTTACAATTTTTGAGAGTAATATCTTCAATTAGATACAAATTGTAATCATTCGACGTACCGTTAAAAAAAATTAGTCTAGAGCAGAGAAAATAAATGATAGTCACAAAAAAATACCCTCTCATCTTTTATTGAAGCTAAAACCTAAAATATTGTAAAATAATTTTGATTAGACAAGAAATTTAATAAAAATCAAATTTATTCTAACTAAAAAAGAATTAAGAAAAAAATCCTTGCCATACATAGGTTGGAACTTTGTACTCCAACAAATTTTAAAATAAAACAGAAATCTTACCGATTTGGCAACCATATGTCGCTTCCCTCGGTTGAAAAAATGGCAATTTAAGCTAGTTTGAATTTCAATGTTATTTTTCTCTACTTAAAAAAATCAAAAAAATTTAAATAAATTTAGCTTTCTATGCTATATCAATTTGATTTATATAATATTTATGAAAATCAGTGTACTCCCCTTGTCAGATATTTTAAAATAAAAAACTTAGAATTTTTAACACATGTAATAATACAATAAATTTTGTTAGGTTTGTAATTAATCATTAATTAACTGTCCATAAAATAATAAATCTAATATAATTATCGTAATTGACATAAAAAATTTAATTTTTAGAACCTTTTTTTAAACGAATATGAGTTTTCCATAGAATAAAATGAAAATAAATTAGTAAAAATCAACAAAATCCGTTATAACATATTTTTAAGACTTTTACGTGTTTTTTTACTGTATGTAGTGTTTTTGTGGGCTATTTATTGAGAAAACAACACTGAAGTTATTATTTTTGAATTTCTTGTAAAATTTCCTTTACTTAAGTTTTACTTTTATAATTCTAAGTTAAGAGAAAAAAAAGTTATGAGACATAGATCAGTTATTTCTATTAAATTTGACTCTTCGACTCAACTTAATAGGCCCGGGGGCACGGGTTAACCTTAACGGATCGGTCCCAAATTTTGCACAGCTCATTTTTTTGACCATTAAAAAAAAATTAAGGGGTAGCGTAAAAAAAAAGACATTCGATTTTTGAGGGCCACCCTAGTGAGTATGTAGCATAGATGGATTAGCTTGTACTAAATAATTCATATTTCACCCATTCTGATTGTATATTCATCTTAAAAATTTTTATTGACCAATTAAAATTCAAATTGCTTTAAAAGAAAAATACACATACATTTTAGAATCAAACAACTTTTAATAGTAAAGTTTTTACAATGAAAAAATCATTTAATATTAAGTATTACACAATAACAATAAAGTATTTAAGAAATTTGTGATATAAATCTTTAAAAAACTATATAAATATATTTGACGAATGCAGTGCACTTAAAATTCATCATTGAATGGATAATCCTTCATATGTTTATTCCTAAAACGTTAATTATAATTAATATTACTCTCAGTAATATAATTGATAACTATTAAAATATTACTACATTACCATATTAAATGGCAAACACGACCATTACAATTAAATGTATCAATTAAGTCCATATCTGTTTGTTCTAACATAAAATCCCAAATGTCAAAGTTTGATTCAATACGACTTTTAGTCACAGATTTTGGAATAACTATAACTCCTCTTTGAACCTGATACCTAATGAGAATTTGGGCTGGACTTTTTTTATATTTGTTGGCAATTGCAATAATTTTTGGATCATCCATAAGTGAAGGATCATCTGGTTTAGCCCAAGGTCTATCTGGAGATCCAAGAGGACTGTAAGCTGTTAAATATATACCATGGGATTCACAAAATTCTTTTAATTTCTTTTGGTTTAAGTATGGATGGCATTCAACCTAAACATATTTTGTGATTTGTGTAATAGTACTTCTAATACAATTCATAAAAATTGGATAATCATTTACTTGATTTGTAACAGGTTTAATTTTAGCAATTCTCAGAATATCTTCAATTTGTCTCTTATTAAAATTTGACAATCCAATGGATTTTAATAAACCTTCTTCTACTAATTTTTCTAATTCTTTCCATGTTTCTACATATGAAGTTGTACCTTCAATCACTTTATCATTTTCATCTTTTGGAAACAAGGTATCTTCTAATGTGCCTTCCTTAAAATAATTAACATATTTTAAAACTATACTTTAAGAAATTTAATGTGGGTATTTTTTAAAATATTACTTTAAATGCCATTGGCCAATGAATTAGGTATAGGTCTAAATAACTGATTTGTAGATCTTGTAAAGTTCTTTTCAAGGCTGTTTTAACATAATCAGGTTGATGAAATGTGTTCCACAACTAAATTGGTAATGAATAGAATGTTATCCATAACATAATAATTTTAAGTTTGGATAGTTATTTACAACAATAAAAATAACACTACTTACTTTGCTAGTAATGTACAGATCTTCTCGTTTAACAACACCTTCTTTGAACTTCTGCTGTAAAGCATGTCCTACTTCTTTTTCATTTCCATAAACTAAGGCACAATCAATATGTCTGTAGCCAGCATCTATTGCAGCTTTAACGCCATTTTCAACTTCACCAGGTTTAGACTAGATATATAAAAAATAAAAATGCATACATATTTAATAGCAAATAATAATAAATTGAAGATCTAATTAAGAAGATAAAATTAATAAACCTACAATCTATTTTTACGTGTATTTGATAATTTATTATAAATAAATTAAATGTTATACCCTGGATTTTTGCTTGTGAGTTTAAGGACTTTTTTTTACTTTTACAATCATCAAAGTCATATACTGTCCTAATGGGAGGGAAGCTATAGCCTCTTTATCCCCTCTACAGCTACACTACTAAATATAATTATTATAAATTTTCTTAATAATAATTAGTTCATCTGTAAAAATATTCATTGTTGTAATACTACAATACTTTTTTTTAATTAATTTTTTATATTAATAAAATTTAAATTCATACATTGCCTTTGTATAAAACAATGAAATAATCATAATATTTTTTACAATTTTTATAACACTGATTTATGTTGAAAATCTTAGATTAATTTAAGTGAAAAATAATTTTTAATTTAAAAACAAATTTAATTTATGTTTTTAATCTTTCAAAATAAAATTATACATCGCTATGATAATAATATTAAAATATTTGTAAGGAAATTGTCAAGGGAATTATTAATGATATAACTATGTGTAATGTAGTGGCGTCTTTTAATTGGTAGTTAAAGCTATAATTTGTATTAGTTTATAAGTCAACTATAAATAGCAAGTTAATTAATTTAAATTAAAATTACCTTCCAAGTACCATATCCTACGATTGGATATTTTTGACCATTGTTAAATGTAACTAATTGATTTTTTGAAGCCATTTAAAAATAAAATGATTAAGTACAAATAATAATTGATATACAACTTTTTAGTAGAGTAGTAGTGCTAAACTGTTTTAACATGCAACAGGCATAGCACACAACGTTTGAAAGTATTCTGTTGTAATGTGACTGTTAAAAGCCAATAATTCAAATCATCACAATGACGGGTCAAACACATAACTAAAATGTAATCGTTATCTAGCTAGAAAGAACAATCATATTTGAGGTCAATATCAGTGTAGCCAAAACTCTAAGCTTTTAAGTAAAATCAATTAAAATTATGAATGTTCAGTTTCAAACTAGCAAAAACAAAGTTTTAAAACCTTAAAAAAGGCAGAAATTATTAATTCCAACGTTGTTACATTTTAAATACACGGAGTTTAAAACACCAAATAGTTAAAATTGATTTTATGTGACATTTTAAACGGTTCAACTATTTTTTAGACAGGTTTTTTTTTAAATCATGTTATAAACAAACCTGATTAACACATGAAGGTACTAGCACATGAAATTACTGGACAAACATAGGCGTAAGGTGGGAAACTAGAAGGCTAAGCCCTTGCACAAATTTAGCAAAATTATATTCATTGTTATATAAAAATTATTTTCCTCCACCAAAAATTAATTTTTTAGCATCCCCATAAAATGTAATCCCCTACGACTATAGAGCTACGTACAAAAGTAAATGGCAAACATCTTATATAAAATTTTGAATATTAAAAATTAATATTATGGAAAAATAAAAAAAAACTTTTATAAAGTAATGTACTTTATTAATGACATAATTTTTGTGATACTTAATCACAGTATTTATTTTTCATAGACACACACATTTGTTTATCTGTCTATGATATTTTTAGTCAAATCACTTAGATATTTCAAATTCTATGGTGCTTACTATAAATTTGCAACATAATTTTTTAATTGCAAAAAATCAAGCACGTAAAATAATATATATAAACGCAAGGCCGCATCTAGGGGCCATTTTTACAATATTTTTGAGATATTTTTCTAAATTTTTGAAAACTAAGAGGTTTTATAAACTTTGACAATAAAAGGTTCAACTAGATTAAAATTTAGTTCTTTTGGCGTGTTAATTATTTAAGTTGGTACAGTAAGTTTTGAGAATTTTCGTGGACATATATTTAAAAAAATCATATTATGGTAACATCAATATTTTCTCAGCTAAAATAACTATGTATAAAAAATTGAGAAAAATCTTTTTAATTAGCATAAAAAGTGGTAATTTGGGTGGCACTATTCGTAAATATGTTCCTGTATAATCATATATTTATAACTATTCTTTACTAATCTTTAAAAAAAATTAATAATCATCATTAAATGGATAATCCTTAAAATGCATATTCCTAAAAAAAAAAAAAGATTTATTATTGTTATTATATTAATTAATAAAGCTAAGATTTTACTGAAATAATTACCCTTTGAGTTGTACATAACGACAATTACAATCAAGTTCATCAATTTGGTCCATATCATCTTTGTCAAGTTCAAAATCCCACACGTAAAAATTAGATTTTATTCTATGTTTCGTCACGGATTTTGGGATCACTATAATTCCTCTTTGAATTTGGTATCTAATTAAAACGTGAGCGGCACTTTTATCGTGTTTACCAGCAATGTCTAAAATGATTGGATTTTCCAACAATGAGGGTTCTTCAGGCATTTTCCATGAGTTATCCGAAGAGCCTAGTGGACTATAAGCAGTAAGAATAATTTCTTTTTCATCACAAAATTCTTTTAAGTTTTTCTGGTTAAAGTATGGATGACATTCAACCTATACGTTAAAGAATATTAAATAAAATTATTTAATTTAACGTCACATCGAGCTTTAACTAAGGTAATAAAAAAATAATGACATTTTTATTCCTGTCACCATTGCATTGGATTAGTCTTGATGAAATATTTATTTTTTCATACGATTAATAAAGGCATATTTTAGAGCTCATTAATGTACTAATATGTCAAAATAGGCTAAATACTTTGTGCATAAAATGCCTAAATATGTCTATGCATGTACATACTTGATTATTCACAGGTTTTATCTTGGCGATACTCAAAACATCTTCAATTTGTCTTTTATTAAAGTTAGATACACCTATTGATTTTACGAGTCCTTTTGTTACAAGCTGTTCCATTGCCTTCCACGTTTCTTTGTACGAACCTTCACCTTCAATAGTTTCTCCGTCGTCATCTTTTGGAACAAATTCATCATACAATTCACCTTCCTAGAGAAATAATGTGAACATTTTAATGATTTCTCTAATTACTTTTAGTATAATTCCATTGTAATATACTTTAAAAGCCATGGGCCAATGTATTAAGTATAAATCCAAGTAATTAATTTGCAAATCAGTTAAAGTTTTGTTCAGTACAGTTTCAACAATGTCAGGCTGATGGAAGGTATTCCATAACTATGATTAATATAATAATTAATATACTAATTTTATTTTGAAATAATGATTATTCTAATAAATTTTGTTCATCATTACTTTGCTAGTTATGTATAAATCATTACGTTCAACTACACCTTCATCAATTTTATTACTTATAACACCTCCAATTTCTTTTTCGTTTCCATAAAACATAGCACAATCAAAATGTCTATAACCGGTGTCTATTGCCACTTTAATAGCTTCTTCTACTTCCCCGGGCTTAGACTATAATATTAAAATTAATTAATTGATCGGTTGTGTTACATTCAAATACTCAATTCAACATTGAAATATAAAGAGTTCAAAAATGTTTAATGTAGTTTTCATAAATTTATATTTATAAAAAAATATTTCTCATAATTAAAAGTTTAATAAAAAAAAGAACGGTAGCACAATGTAGACGTGGCATAGTTAGGACAAGTATACATATCTGACAGTGATTAAAATCACTATCATAAAAAACGTTTCTATGCAAATCGTTGGATAGTTTATAAAAGGAATTATTCCAAAAACAACATAAACTCCTATTTCCTTATTTATATCCTGATTACAAGTTTTATGTTATATATATATGTAATATATGAATAAATAATTAATAAATTTAAATTTATTTATTAACTATTTAATAAATTAGTTCAACTTCGACGATCATTTGTATGAAGATGAAGTCATCAGGACAATTTTTTTTAAATTTATATTAAGTAACATAAGCTTTAATTTAACATATATAAAAAGGTGCAGTATTTCATTGTCATGCACACTTTAAAAATTGTAATATTTTTAGGGATTTCCTTTATTAACAGGAAATCAGAGTAAATTTTTGAAATGTTTAACGGCAATGTCTTCTAATTGATACGATTTGTGATCATTTAACGTGTCATTGAAAAAAATTGGCCCAGTAAAAGCTCAGAAAGTGGCAACAGTCACAAAATAAAATCATAATAGTAAAATTAATACCTTCTCAGCTTCGCATCGAAGCTAAAAAATTGATTCCTACAAAGATTTATGTATAATACTTATAAATTTCAACATGCTTATGAAAGTTTCAATTTATTTTTAAATTAAAATATTCACCTTCCATGTGCCAAATCCTAAAATCGGATACATCTCACCATTGTTAAAAGTAATGTATTGATTATTTGATGCCATTTTACAAATATATTTTGTATAAATATTTCTTATAAGTTCACAACTTTATTAGGAAAAACAAAAAAAATTATGGAAAATTTACAAAATTGCTATTACATCACTGAGTTTATTAACTGTCAATACTGTTATAAATTGATATTTTTAATTTCAATGTTATGTTTTCACATAGCAGCACTAATATTTTCATTCTATTGTACCTTATTAAGTACAATAGAAGTAGCTTCAATAAATTGAAGTTACAAAATTAATAGTCTTTCTATTATAATAAAAATAGATTACGTTTTCAAAAACAACTGTGTATTTACGTTTATGTGAAGAACTTCAAAGTGGGTGATTAATTTTTTTTTAGGCGCCTACATCTATTAGTATGCCCTTATTTTTTATGAAAAAGTAATTTTATATAATCAAAATATTTATGTAATGTTTGAACTTATTCTACATTTTGTAATCTATTAATTTATAATAAAATTTGATTTCACTTCAAATTAATTTCATTGTTTTTGGGAAAATATTGAACTAAATAATATCAGCACATTTAAAGTTAAAGATCAATTGATATTTCGGTATAAATTATAAAATATTATTCATACTTGTTGATAACCTTCTTATTTCTTAAATTGACCCCTAATGAAAATGACGTCAGATGACGTCTTTTGTACAATTAATTCTATACAAATCTTTTACTAATATTAAAATAAAATTCTATCCCTGAAAGTATAAGTTTAGTAAATTTAAAAATGATTTATCGTTGATACGTTCTAAAAGTTTGCAATTATTTAGCACCAATAAGCATTTTACAAATATTTAAGTAATTAAGTGCAACATGTATTTTAATTAAATTATTGTTTTAACGTCATTATTCTTCATAGAAAAATTCAAGTATATAAATAAAAAATGAAAACCTAGAGTATAAAATATAATATTATTACGCCACAATTTTTTTTTTTAATATGTACTGATTTACACTATTTAATTGTATATCTTTTTAATAATTTAGTTATAGATTCATTGAAATTAATAAAATTTTAGATTATAATAATTAATAATTGATTTTAATAATAATATACAAAAGTAGAATTTCGGACTCGCCAGATTATAACTGATAAACTATTTTTTTTTGTGTATAAAAAAAAAAAAAAGAGTTTAATTTAATTTAAAAAATATTCAACAAAAGGAATATTTCAGTATAATAATTATTTATTAAACAAAATTTAGCGAGGTCTTTGTATATTAATTTCTACATTTTATTCTGAAATATTTAATATTTATTCTTCAATACTTTGTATTAAAAAAAACGTTATTCACAAATAAAACTATTGTAAAAAAATTATTGTATTTAGTACATAATTTATTATAATTTACAAAAAATAGCATTATCCTAACATAATATTTAATAAAATTTATACATGCGTTTTGGTGAACCAAAATTATTTAGTTAATTTAGATCCTTTCACTTTAAATAATAATTATATAATAATATATAATATTTTACAATTGAAAATAAAAAAATGTAATATTATATCTAATATATGATACTTAAAAGCCTAATAGTCTTGCTTACCATTCAAAATCATCAATAAATTATTATTACAAATTATAATATCAATGCAACAATTAGCTATTATAGTTTGACATATAATATTATGTTTTCTTTATAAATAATTTTTATTTACAGTGGTATATATACATATAATAATTATTATTTTTTATTATATTATACATAGAAGTGAAAAATTATGTTAATAATGGGACCTATATAATTTCACAAAATTGAGATGTCACTTTAAATAATAATATAAAAACAATCTTTCGGTAATTACAAATATCGCTAAAATTACACATGTACTCATAATCAATAAAATGTGTACGTTTTGAGTCACGACTTATTGTAACGATCTTTAAATTTTGCTCCTACTTTACTTCTGAACAGATGTAAAGTTGAAGGTAACTATATAACATTCTCGTTGATCCAGTCTATGTATCGAGAAACTCTTGTATACACACCGGGATATCCAGGCTCACCGCATTTATTACCAAAAGATACTATACCGATTTGAATCCATCTACCATCTTTTTTTAACATTAGTGGACCTCCAGAATCACCCTAAAATCAAATGTAATATTTCAATACATTTTATTTGTTAATTAATGTACGATAAACTAACTACTAATGTATTTATCTAAACAATATTTTGAATTTTACCTGACAAGCATCTTTGCCTCCTTCTTTAAGACCTGCACATATAAAGTCTTCGTTAATCGGTTGGAAGTAAGTTCTATCACAGTCACTATTATGCCACACAGGTAGTTCCACTTGTCTTTGTACAGTACTTTCTTTACCACCTGAGACAATACGAAAATGTTTAAAATTGATCGATTTTTTTACTAAAATGTTCTGGATATTACCGTAGTACGTTGTGCCCCATCCTACGACAGTTGGAACTTGACCTACAAACGTTTCAGACCTTGCGCTCTTTGGTGGCAAACATAACGGTATAACGTATTTGCTGCGTTTCACTGGTCTATCCAACACTAGGATAGCAATGTCGTTGTAAAATCCTACCCTTGAGAACTTTTTATGTCCCCTTACTTCGACCACGTGATATGTTTCGGGGGATGAAGGTTCATCGTCCCTTCGAAGATCTACGTCGCCCAATCTCACAGTAAATTGTCTGGCATTAAATCTAATAAACATAAAATTACGTTATAAAATAAATAATAAGTACTCCATCATTATTATAATCACGGTAATTGTCTATTGTCTCTTGTACAATGAGCAGCTGTAAGGATATGCCTGGGACCTATGAGGGAACCTCCACACCAAAATTCTGTTCTTCTAGTCCCGTGCAAAAATATAGCAGCCATCCATGGCCATCGCCCGGGTAAAGCTTCGTCTCCACCGACAACTCGGTATTTTGGCACTTCCGGTCGTCCACATTCTATGATAAGAGATAACATAGGTTAATNTCCACATTCTATGATAAGAGATAACATAGGTTAATATTATATTTTATTGAGTATAATTGATTCCAAAATCAGTTCAATAAAATTTAGTATACATTCAGTGATTCCAATATTTATATGCATTAATTCCAAAGTAGACTGTTTAATGTATATTATTTATGCTAAATTTCATCAGTTATCTAATTTCCAACAGAATTCCAATTATAATATAATTGTAAAACTCAAAAATTGTGAACAATTAACGCCTAAGCAAAACCGGTAACATCTTGTAAAGATACCGCCTTTTACGAACCAGAAAAACGTGATTGGCAATACCGTGTCAAATTTGAAAGAGGTTAACGGTGGCAACACAACCAAATGGTACTTAGTATTGTATATTAGTGTACGTTTTCCTTCGCATGCACGATATTTAATTGTCATTGTACGTTAAAAAATACCTCTATACATTGTAGTCTACACTATGTGACTTTCAAGTCTAAACAATAAATGGTTTTTATGTTTTGGAATGTTTTTTTACCAAACCATTAAATTTTAACTAAGTGAAAAATCGTGTTAATTGCAATGATGTATTTTATTTACCTCCTTCATCAAAAATGTTGTTGGTACCAGAGGTAAGTATTGGCGGTTTGGTGGTAGTCAATTGAACAGGAGCTTGGGTCGTTAGAGTAACAACAGTCGGTGGTGGGCGCGTAACAGCTATTGGCCGGTTATTTACCGGTGGTGGTCTAGTTGTAGATATCGATTCCGTGTTTATATTTTGTGGATTTTGAATAGATCTGAAAAAATATGTAAAGAACTTAAAAAAATGGAGTCGTGTACCGACCGAATTAAAAAACAGTAAATATGGATTTCTGTCATTAAATAATAAAATTTAGAGCAAAAAAAAAAATTGTTTTAAATTTGTTCATTGAAGTTGATTTTTAAAAGTTCAATTCGGGTTACAAAATTTCAAATGAAATAATTGTTTAAACCATAAAACCAGTGCACTTTCATTATTTCCCACCGCGACGAGTTCGTGGCTAAATACTATCTGCAAATACTTTTTTCCATTTTTGGCAAACTACCGCAAAATTACAATCGATAAAACATTAAAATGATAAATATTTTATGACATATTTATAAAAAAGCAGAATTTCTCTATGCGAAATTAGGTGTCCATTGGACGAAATATTATATCACGCATACAAAATTGGTAGAATTCCATAACGTTATTGTTCTTAATTTATTATTGAACATCAAGTTGACTGCGGAACGGATTAAAGAATTTTCTTTTGACACGAGATGCATGTAACAGCTAGTAGAGTAGAAAAAAATGGTTTTGACACTAAAAAACGACTGCGGAAGTGCGTTGTTATTTTGTGTTGAACTACTTTGCATTAACATATTATACATGGGTACAATAAATTTTAAAATGAGAGTTTCACTTGCACTTCTCACAAAAGATACTCGTCGAATTATCATAGTAAGTCGTTTTTTCCATTTTTGAAAACCTGTCATTTTGAATAGGACGTGGTAATATATGCAACCGACGGAGTCTTTGCGTGAAAATCAAAAGTGAAAATCGATGTTTGATTAGGCGATTGCTCAAGCAGATGTAATCAACAAACGAAAGACCAAGTGATCGGGTTAAATAGAGCGCAAAAAAGCGGTTAAAACCGAAAGGGACTACACGATTTTTCGGCGGATGTCATTGTCTAGGTTTTACCTTCTCCTCTCGTGATTTACACGTGTTTATTAAATCACGATTAGTTCAAAATGATTGTAGATATACTGCGCACAACTAATAATGCAGCATGGGTTATGGCGAGACCGACAAGGTCATTGGCAATTAAGTTTAACGTTCGAGTAAAGCAAGTGGATAAGACAGTGGTGTAAACAATACAATATTATGTGAACGCTAGAGATAGTATGAAAACACTTTTTGCTTTATATTTTACATTACTTTCTATTGTACGCTATGTTATAACGGTACTCTCGCAAAATATTGACGTGATGATTTCCAAAAAAATAAAAAATAATAGTAATCAAAAGCTGAACAGTCAACGAGCATGTTGGCTAATCTTTTTGGAGTTGTTAGTGAATGTCTGAGATAAATAACTATGAGACGTGTCAAGAAACTTGATACGTTTTCTCCGAATATTCGTTATAAAAATACATTTTCAAAAATATTTGTTTACTATCGGTGAACTTATTTTAAAATTGTTCAGTTAATTCTCTTTTAAGTCACGACATTAAATGTGAATCAAATCTTAATGCACCTCCAAGTGTAGTAGTTTCTAACTCTTGTACTGAGTAACTGACGATGTACGAGTATGATATTTCTTGGTTATTGAAGTTTTATTAAGAGTAATATCATTGATTAAAAAACTCACTGTTCAGATGACTTTCTTGGACAGCACACGCCAGGCACAAAAAGATTTTTGAAGCATATCGACTGTCTTAGTTGGCCAAGGTTGAGCAAAAGTTGTGGACAATTACTCAGGTCTTCACAATTTCCCTGAGAACCGTCCGGTGTAGTACATGGCCTATTGTCCTGAGCGACCACCTTGCCTGACCCAAGACTAACCAAAGGTTTCACTACCATGTCAGTCACGTTTCGACCAAGTACGTTCTTGCTAATGGTAAATATGGCAGATGGCAAATCACCACCTGGTTTCTGTAAACCTTTTTTTTCATTAGTACATGACCACACAAAAGTAATATTACATATATTCAATAGATTAAATTTTTAGAATATAAAATATAATTTTGATATTATTTCACTATGGATAATTAAACAATAATAATATATTAAAAAAGTAATAATAATAAAAAATAGAAAAAGATGTTTCTTTGATAAATTGTTGAAGAAAATAAAGAATTTTCTAATTAAGAATTTCTCTCATCCAATTCAAATCTGTGTTTCATTGCCAATTATGCGAGTTCATCACATTTTTGTATTTTTTAAACATACGAAGTATGGCTTATGCAACTACAAGTATTATATTTATATATAATAGTCATAACCAAGACATGGAATTTTAACGTAAAGTTATATTTACATTGTGATTCAATACATATTCGTATTTGAATATCTTTGTATTAAATACAAAATCTTTAGTTATATACTTTTTTATATTTCATCATTTTTTAATAAATCCATATATTTAAGATTTTGGCACTTATTTAGACGAATTCTAAAAACTATATCATTTTTACTTTACACATATTTATTTGACGACTTTTATTATTTTATTTGTAATAAATTCACAGACAGATTAGTATGATATTAAAATGTACTTTGTACTTTAATGTAATTAAAGTTTAACACCCAAAAATAATACAATGTTAGAAAATACATATAAATACATACTTATGAACTAAAAGAAATCTTAAAGAATATATGGAAATTTTATTCAAACATTTTATGACGAAAATTTTGTATTTTACAAAAAAGTAATTTCAAGAAAAGTAAATCAAAAATACATTTTTATAATCTAAACAGGATTTTATAAACGAATCATTTTTATTATTTTTAATAAAACAATTTATATAATTTGTGTACACTAATTAAAAGTGTATTATATTATTGCGCAAATTTATATTAGGCGCATTATTATGTCCATGTTTTNATTTTTATTATTTTTAATAAAACAATTTATATAATTTGTGTACACTAATTAAAAGTGTATTTTTTAGAACTTAAAGTTCCGTGCTTGGTCATTACATATTATTACAGTAATAATTATGTATTATAATATAATAACTAATGTCATTGTGTATTTCAAACACAATCACTCTAACTTAAAATTTTCTTTTTTAATAAAAATTGTAGAACAAGTAGCAAATGTCTTAGAAAATTTTTAGACAATCATGTTTTAATAAGAGTTACTACTTACTCGCGCGCCACTAATTATTAACTTGCACTATTAGAAGTATGTATTTGCGTGCAAGTGCAATGATTTTGTGAATTTATAAAAATAGTAGAAAAAGTTCAATTGTGTAAAAAATAATGTCAACTAAAAACCATATTTGTATAAGTACGACAATACCGAAATTTTAATACTAACATTGGGTAAATATCATGAACGAGTACAATTCATTAGCGTATTTTACATGGGAGCTTGTTTATAAATGTCAATGTCTAATATTTTTATCTAATTATTAAACTGCTTAAAAAAATTAATGATAAGTAAATAAAATTACTAAAATTAAAAAAATTCTAATTATTATTGTAAATATATTAAGAGTAAAGTCATTTTTTATTTTTATTAATTTTCGTAGATATTATTATATCTCTTTCCTATAAAGATGTACTTACTTACTGGATAGGACTGCAACGGGCTGTCGACTCGGTCATCTGTCGTACCTCTGGTGTAGTTGACTAAATACCTACCAACTGTATTGATGGCGCCTAGTGTTTCAGAGATTTTAGCTATGGCCTGTGGTGACAAATATCGTGCTTCTTCCGAACCGACGGATGGGTATTCAGGATTTTCATTTGGAATATTATCTTGAAATTCTGATGGTAACTTAGCACGTCTGCTTGACTTTGCATGTCTACTCTCAGGGTATATAAACTTTCCATCGTCTTCCTTGACTTCGCTTGAAGGAAATCTAAAGGTTTCAGGTGAGTAGGACGTTTGCCTTTGTGGCCGACTGTAATAATATTGCTGACGACTGGAAGTAAATTCGTACTCTGAAATAATAACAGTTTTGTAGTTAATATAAAAAATTTTAAAATCATACTAAATGGAGTCGAACAATTAAAGAAAAAACTGAAACTCAATCAAATCGTACGAGCTTTAATATCCTCAAATTAAACAATCTAAACAATGTTAAAGTTTTCTAGAAAATCCGATGGTTTTACCCTCTCCATCTACAATTCTTAATCTCTTTATTACTCTCAAAATACAATATCAGTTATTTAATCATTTCTTTTATACATATTATTATCTTTTTGTTCAACTACATCACTTTTACAACTATAAGTTATATAAATAATGACTAAGATGTAACAAACAACAGTTATTACCACCCATTCGTTTAATACAATATAAATATTCCAGATTATTTTTAAACATATTTTTCAACTTAATTCTTGAGCATACTAACTTAGTGTCTTTATAATTATCCATACTTATAATTGCATATATTCTAAGAAAATGACACATTCATTTTATTTAATACTAGTTATTGACCAGTAATATTTCACTTAATCTGTTATCTATCTAAAATAATAAAAATAATTAAAAATTCTCATTTAACTTTTTAAAGTTACCCTTTAATCATACAATTATAAGTATCATTTCCTTACAATATACTTGATATTTACTAAGATTCATAAAAATAAATACAATTTTAATCTGTACATTTTTATGAAAAAAAAAACATTGATGCAAAAATAGGTGGTAGTGTTTTTAATAAATCACACTAAATAGTATGATATAATTTATTTCAAGTTGCTAAATTTTACTTTATTAGTTTAGGTGTAATTATCAGGGACTGAAATAGAACCTAAAAAACCGATTCTTGATTTAGAAACTATTTAATATTTAAATGCTTAACTGAAAGAGCAATTTTTATTTTCAGATAAACATATTTATGGAATAACTTTTATCATACCATCAAGGTAATATCATAGTAAATTAACATTTAACTAATATATTTATATATTAATTATTTATATATATAACATGTCTAAAGAGTTTTTTTACCCAGATAATTTGTTTCATTGCAAAAAATTTAATTAGATATTTCGGAGACATCGAGTTATTTTTTTTAATTCAAATAACTATTTATAGTTTATATAAATATGTATAAGTTAATTACGATATTCACAAAATAATAACAAAATGAGCGATATTCTATATCTATAAAACATGTTAATTACTTCATCAATAATATGATATAACATTTTTAAAAACTACGTTTATGTAAATTGCAGGATAATTTAGTTTGCATAATTCACATTTGTATAAATTTCATTTTTTTTATTTTTAAGACAATAATTTTGTAACAATTAGATAACTGTATGGAACAATAATTGCTAAATTCTTGTTAAGGTTGTGAAAATTTGTCACGTAGTATTACATCAGTTATACTAACTCTATTGTTGTATAAAGCTAAATCTCACTAAAACGTTCTAAGAAAACATGTAATTAATAGTTTTTTTCTAATACATGTTTGATTTTTGACAACCATGCTAATATTTGTTATAATTTACAATAATTTTTATAATGGACACTAATAATTTCAGTTTTATGAACTGCATTTTAGCGTTAGATGTTTATTACGAATCAATTTTAATTTTTTTTTAAATTAATTTTTTAATTTCTAAGGCGGAAATTAGAAATTATGTAAACAAACTTAATTTTCTATAGTTAGGAAACAAATAATTGGACTAGTAAATATATTTTATAATAAAATTTAAAATTAATCAAATATAATCTATTTATTATGGTTTTCTGCAATTATCTGGTAATTTTAGAGAATATAGTGACATTGTTTTGAATAACATAAAATATTTAATTTTCTTATTTATTGTAAAATATTTTAAACAGAATCTTTATAAATGGGATCAGAAAAACCCTTAGTATAGAATCACAGTTTGGAGTAAAATAATTTGCAAAATCAATGGAGTCACCGATAGAAAATAAAATTTGAAATCAGTGACTGGTTACCGTAGATACATCTTTATCATTTAACAATCATACTCATAACATTGCAAAATGAGAATATTGACTTGTACTCAAATAACCCTATAGAAATATCATTGAGAACTATAAAATTTAATCGGTATTTAAGATAATGCTTTCAAGGACCTCCTTATAAAGATTGTGACAATATTTAATACTCAGCACCATGTGGTTAACATAAATTCCAGTTTAATAGATTTTTATGATGAAGAAAATCATCCATAGACTATCAGCTCTATAATAAACAAGACTTATGTATCGATACAAAGTAATATAATCTTATTACAGTTTTAATAAAAATTATCGCTATTATTTATTTTTTTTTGAAAAAAAAAAAAATTAAAGTATACATTATAGTATTTTATGGTAAACTGTAATAATTTTTAATAGTATATAACTAAATGAAATGTATGATTTTCTTGTGTTCAATTGAGAATTAACTTTCACATTAGACGTTAACTTATTATGGGGCAACTTAAGTGAGTAAGTACTATTAGGTTAGTAATGGAGATACATTTTTAAACTTATATTAAGCATGCCGATATTTGTACTTAAAAAAAATATGTCCGAATTTTCACATACACATACTGGAATTTTTTAACGCATACAATATATGGAAAAATTTTCAAGAACTATCTATTAAGTATTGTTTAATTTTGGTAATTCGTAGTTAAATTCATTATTAATTAATAACGAATTTTCAACATATTCCTAGAAAACAAAAATATATAATTTCCTAAATATTTGGAGGCTGATTAAATATTTAGGGAGTCTTCGTCTGCTTTCCTATATCTTTTTGTCATCGCTGTTAATTATAAAATGTTAAAAAGAAAATTCAAAATAATGATTTTTCCGGTTAAGGCAGTTTATATTAACACTTGTTAATCGAAAGATATAAAGTTTTTATTAGATGTACCACATAAACCTTTTTGTACCAAGTACAACTTACAGTAAAACTTAAAAAAAAACTTTACTAAAATCCGCAATGTTTACTCATAAAAACTTTCACTAGCCTATCACATCCTAGGCGTGACATTAACGTTTACCTTCAAAACAAAAGTATAGATAAGTGACTAATACTAATTAAGATTCACTGAGAATAATATTAAGTTACTTTTTTGTAAAAGTCCCGAACCTGTCTTATTTAGACATCAGAAATATCATCAAATCGATTGCCTGTTTAATGTTTTAATGTCATTTCAAACAAAAGTGTTAGACAAACGAATAAATATTAACTGTATTTTTATTTAAATCAATCTACGCTCTACGATAATATATATATATAAGAATACATCACTTTTACCAATAAAAATATAATTATTGTTAAGTTTAGAAATTGTGTTAATAGTGTTGGCGTATTCAGATACTATCCAACAGACGTTCATGATATGTGGTCGATTGTAGTTGTGTGTCAGGTCGTCAATTAATCATTACTAATACGTGTAAGATGTTCGTTTAGTGATTATCAAAAGCCAAACGCTACTGGTCATTCTCCAAAATATTAAATCAGAACCGGTTGTTGAAAATCATAACATTAAAACGATTTTTTTATCCCGGGCGGCACAATAATGTTTTGTACTATTAGTTTTTTAATCCGGATTGTTTTCATGATACAATATTTCTTTTTTATTAGGTATATTGCATTGAACTCGTGTAAGGATTAATAATGCATATTTAACGAGATAAATAGAAAAGTTACCATTGGCATCTTTGTAGCACAATTCACAAAATTCAAATATTGATATTAGAAAAAAATCATAATAAAATAAAGTTAGAACAAAAAATATAATCAAATATATTTAAACACATGTTATTTTCGAATGTTTTCCTGTTAATTTTGTTAAAAACCTATCTATTAACAAATTTTAATACTTAGAGCTAGTAATGAATCAATAGTAAATACTTACTGTATAAAGTTATTAAAACGCTTAATCGGAACATAAATTTTTCATAAAAACTTTATTTTTTACTACGAGAACTCTATTTTGGAGTAGAATAATCTATTTTAAGTCTAACAGTAGTTTTGAGCTTGAGTAAAAATACAATTAAATCACATAGTTTGATCTCTAATGACGCAATATTAAAATATTTTACAAAAAAACTGTACATCATTAATTAATATATCTTAGATTTTGCAAAAAATTTACATAACGAGCAAGCAAGGCTGGTACGAAAAAAATTATTTTTTACTAATTTTTATTGTTAACTGTTAACTTTGTTGTATATAGTGAAGTATATGTATTAATTTTTATAATTTCTATTCAAAAAATCTACACTTGTACGAGTTCACAAAATGAAATAAGTAAAATAAGCATTTAAAGTATTATATTTTAGGATTTAACCCGTCATTTTCAAACCTACACTTGTTATGTCAGTTTATGTGCAAATACTGCTAAATTATTATTTTACCTGAAGAGTGTGGGAAGTGGAAAATGTACCAACTGATTTTTTCGCCTACAGTACTCATGAACTTTTTCGAAATTTCTAAGAAACCTAATCGGAATTTATCTCAATATTATGATCAAAATATTTTTAAAAATGCATAATTTCTTTTGTTTTTTTATTTTTTAACCAATAATTTCGTTAATATAATTGTAAAACCACCTACGCTAACTGTTCACTTTCCATTTTGCTCACTCAGATCTTAATATCCGGTTGTGTGTGTGTGTGTGCTATACCGATGTTGTTGCCCGTCAGATATATCTATTTATAATATTAAGTTGAACCTGTACGTGTATTTAGAGTACAACCACCCGACCGATTTATTATCACTTAAAACGTATTACAGACATAGTCGACGTTGTAATATGTTTTAATGGAAACAAACAGACGGTGAGTATTTTAAATGTATATAGGTTGATAAGTATAAATTATGCTTAAATTATTGCACCTAACTTCTCGAGTTGGCACAGAGAAAGTTGAGCGACAACGCTGTAAAATAAAAAAAACATTGAAAACGCGACAGCGGTGTATGTAATATAATATGCTAAAATCTGACTCTAATTGTTTTCTCTTCTGTCTCTGGCGCATCGCTTTTAGTTCTTTCTACTAACCGTCTTCGCAGTCGACTCGGACATCACAAGTTACATAATGTCGTACACACATACTCCGTTCTCATACTCATCGATTGTGCAATATTTGCTCGACTATAAAAAAACCATTCTGGCATACGAACGCCTGCAACGCAATGACGATCACAGCCGGACAAGGCGTGGTATTGGGAAAAAATAAATAATATAAAAACTCCCTCCCGTCTATTCATTTTTCTCGGTAATAAACCAATTTTGCATACCGGAGAAAGTTTGGAGGTCGCGTTACGTAACTCGCTACAGTTTAGCCGCTCGTTTTTCCAAGTCGACCGATGCTAACAATGACCCCGTCGGCCGTCGTTTAATCATAACGCATTTGTTCATTGCACTCTCAGGTTTATATCAAAGTTCATCTAATTTTACAACAGAGTGATTCATTGGAAATATCGGTGACTTACCTTGTGGGTAACTTCCGCCGCTGCTGTAATACTGTTGTTGACGAACACCTTCTACCGCTAAGCAATAGAATATCCCTGAAAAATAATAAAAGAACCAAATTGTATTGTCGTTCAATTAGGAAAGTATATGTAAATTATTTATCAATGACACTTTGTACGCGATGCCGAATTATTACAACAATAATTAGCCGCCTACGGATGACACTGGTAAAATCCGATTCGTAATCTCAAATAACTGTTTGCAACATGTCAAGGAGATCTGTTTTGTAATGTTGAGAATATTTCAGTTTTCAAAACTAAACGTTTTTGTTCAGAGAAAAAAGAGTAAATTACTCAGTGGAGACAAATATTAAAACATGATGCTTTCTCGTCATTCAAACGTTATCGTTCATACGAAACTGTTTTAGTTTGATAATAACATGGTACTTATGCTTTTAGAGACCCGACACGCATCGTTAGGTCAAGTTTATGTAAATTTATTAGGCTCAGTAAAATTATTTTTAAATAATATTGTCATGATAATAGGTATTAACTTTTAAAAATGAAACAATTCAAACGTTCACTACGTGGGCTAAAGTAACGATTGTGACTTTTTTTTGTAATTTTTTTACCGGAAAAAGTTTTTATTTTATAGCCAAATGAGGCACTTCAACTGTAGTTCTACGGCATTATGTTATGTTAAAATATAAAATGTATATTTTACATTTTTATAACTGCAATATGTAAAATATAAATGATAAGCTAAATAATATAATGGAATTCGGTAAATTGTAGTAATTTTTGAGAGACTCACGATGTGTACACATAAAAATTCAGGAATTTATTTAGTTGCCAGGTAAAATATTGTATGAACATAAATATCCATATTTTAAATTCAAATTGATTTATTTGCAAGTGTAATGTATTGTTTCATCTATTATTTTTCTACACAACAAAGATAATTGAATAATCATAAGAAATGTATTGTGTACTAGGTTTGATGTTAAATTAAATGTATATTTTGGTATATTTGACGTAATATAAAATATTTTAAAGCTTTAATTATGTTTAACTGCCATTAGTCACTTAAAATTTTGTTAATTATAAGGTAAACATTTGTTCTAAATAATAAAATATGTTCAAATGTAAGTAAAACATAAACACACCATAGGTTTATTGGATGTTGATTAAAGCACATTCTATTTTCATTTAATGATACACATTTCTATACGATAAATGATACTTTTAAAACTTTAAAACAAACAATAGGCTTTGTTGTTAGTGTATTATTAATAGTATGTTTGAGCAAATATATGGAACATACTATAAATAGCATATGATTAATAACTTTTCAAAGTCTTATGCGTTGGAACGGGTATAAGTAATAGTGTCAAAGAGTAAAAAATGTTAATATTCCTTTGTTTTTTTGCCTAGATTGGGTACTTCAGTATCTATTTAACTACCATTAAAGTCTCCGTAATACAAACACAATAGTTATCATACAAATAAATAAAAAATAATGAGAAAAGTAAGCGTAAGCATTCTACTCCAGTGCAAATTGTGATAATTAAGTAAAATTGAAACGGTTAATATTTCTTTGTCATTGTTCGAACAAAATAGATAGTAAAATACGCATAAAATGTGGACTCTGTAGAAAAAACTAGTTTCTACGCACATCGATGAAAGTAAACTAATAACTTAATTTTACTACTCCAGTAAGTCTAAACGAAATAAGTAAGTAACATTGATGATGAGTCCCAATCAGCAGTGCCGATATTATATTATGCAATTTATGGAAGTGAACAAACCCGGGAAGGAGAATAATAGATTTACAAAGTATAATTACTATAATGAGCGTTTTGATGGATCACCCGAAAGTGCAATGGTTCGGTGAAAACACAAGTAACGCCTATGAGAACAACCGGGTAAACAATATCCGGGATAAGCGCCAGCCTAGTTCGGTCACTCATCTATAAGTTATGGCCGTGTTTCGCTGGGAGAGGGCGTTCGTTTTGGACGGCCGACTTGACCGCGAAAAAGAAAACAAACCGTTGTTATTGAGTGTTACAGTATTGTAAAAAATGATTGCCCGTCTCTATACTCCGTCCGACATCAAGGCCGTTCACGGATATTCGAAGGTCGTGACGTGACCAATATACACACACAGATATGCGGAAAGTGCAATCATAGCAACATCCGCTAAGGGCATTGTGGCCGCAGTCTTTAGATGTATTCTGTACGCATTTAATTGGGGACTTTACACAAAACAATGAAAGATATGTACAGTCGTAATTATAATTTTTGTTCATTTCTCCGTGTTATCAACCATCTATTTTTCAACATCGTACAAACATCTGTGCAACTATAAACGGTGAAAATATCCCTCGCGGGCTACAAATAGCCGGCCGCTAACACGTCTTCTCGTTTAAAGTTTATTTTATTTCTTTTTAATTTTTCTAGTGAACTTTGTCTACAAGCGTCGGAGGCAGCGCCTATAAACAAGATATGGCGACACTCGTTTATCTTTATAGTATAGCAGTGCATATCCAATCATTTTCTAACCACTTCGGGCTACTTGATATTAAACTGAAGTATTATTATAATCTTCAGCCGTACAAAATTAGTCTAAAACAACGTCGATCTGCCATAAACAATAATATTATTATAGGAATTAGTACACAAACAGATTTCTTTCGGCCAGTGTGTATAAACATAAATACTTAAATTATGCATCTGTTAGATGTATCGTTTGGCTGATTGTCACGTGTCGCTTTCACCGACAATCACAATAATATTATAATTTTAAATATAATTATTTAACACGATCAGAAATAATTATTTTAATGAATTGAATTTTACGGATGTGTTACAGCTTTACGTTGGATTCCAGAGAGTTAAGAAAAATGGCATGTAATCAAAGGTTCGAGGCGTTTAAAATCGTTCGTCTAATAGGTTAGAACTAAATAGATTGGTAAACCACAGATAAATTCTTTTGCTAATTTTGACAGTTGACAGTCTTCCACAGCTTTCTCAGTGGTTAAGATCAACAAGAAGAAAAGATTTTTCAGTGTTGTTAACTACCTAAAAGATAGCTTATTGTTTTTATTTTGAGGTAATTAGCTCTGGTAGATTTGCGGTACGCGGTCAAAAGCAGTAAAAATGAATTAAATTTATGAAAGTTGTCAATAATGCTTATCAAACGCATTAACAACGACAACGATCAATACATGCGACTTAAAAGTATTAATTATACTTAACGCATTTATAATGTACCAGGAAATTACCATTACATATGAGTCCAAGTACGGAAGTAATATACTAGTCCTCGTTGAACGTAACGTATTATATGAAGTTGTACGTACATAGAATATAAAACAATTGTTCAACCAAAATGTTTCTCTTTTTAAATGATTCAATTTATTTGAAAAATTCGTTTTTATTTGCATTAAAATTGTTGAAAACATTATAATTTTACGCAAAAGCATATGTGTCTTCTGAATAAAATTTAGTTAAGGGAAAGATAGTTTTTCCAGTTTCAAACAAATGCAGAATACAAATTATTTTGAAAATTTTTAAATTCTTATTAAGTGATCAAACTTCAAAAAACGTTTCATTTCATTTTTTTTGTTGACGTTCATTTACTATTTCAGTGCTTATCATAACATATTTTTATATTTAGAATAATAAACATAATCGAATATGAAAACCAATTCAACAAATTAAATATAAACTTCCGAGGAAAATAAAGATCAAAATATTATAAATTTATGGTGCCAAACATAAATCATTTAAACGAAAAATATAAATTAAGAAGAAAACTACTTGGAGTACTAGATGAAGTAAGAATTACTGAGCAATGAACTTTTTGATATGACCCTGGTAGATAATCGTTTTAAAGACTTACACGTCATAAGTTTATAATTTATTAGATGTAACATAATAATAATGGTATCAACCGGAATGATAATAATTATTATCCAATACANGGTATCAACCGGAATGGTAATAATTATTATCCAATACACTTTCTCATTGTACGTGTTATGATTTTTTGGTAATAAAAAACCCGGAGGTCACTCTTGTATTGTATACACTTGTAGTAAACATGACGTTTACTAAGAACTTTTTTAAAAATTCAAAGCAAGTATACCCCTCTTCTTTCCTTTAAGTCATCTCAGAGTCCATTCGAATTTAATGTCAGCATAAGTATTATAATTTTTAGATTGTGCAATTGGTAAATCATAATATGCATGCTAATTAATAACAATGCTGCAAGTTTCACCTGTGACACAATGATATTCATCGAACATCGGGGTCAAGTTGATTTTGATTTGATCATTATTACGTTTTCTATTGTCTACATTTTAACCTCCCACTTGTTTTTTTTAAAAGGCACTTATCATAAACTCTGAATAGATAATTATAATAATAATAACTTCTAACATTGTTCATTTATTTACTGAAACCATTTAGAAAAATATTATTTTATAATTTCTTGGAAATTTTTTTGACTTGATGTCATTAATTGACAGTCAGGTCGATTTTAGATGACAACACAGTTACATGAAGTCTTGAAACTCATAAAAGAATATACGTATGCTTAGATTTATTGTCTTGTGTCCGGCTTTCGCCTGAAAACAAAAAGACTGCGACTGTGACCATTAAATACGGTATAAAAGGACCTATGGAAAAAATAATGGTCGTAATAACAGAAAAGTGGGTCGATTATTACCGTTCAGCCGTTGCTTAAATACTCAAACTCTTGAACCTGTGACAAATAAAATTTTTTTCAAAATTAATTATTCTTGTGAAGTTTTATTAAGTTTTTGTTGATAACCTTGACTTGCAGAATACATCGACTTAGTCTAGACGAATCAAATGTTATATGTTATATTAAAATTTATAGTTACAAGAAGATATTAACAAAAGTATTCTTCACAAAATCACGACTTAACAGTTTTTATGTGTTATATTCAATCTGTAAATGTTTAGCTTAATACATAATATTATTAATATAATAATATATTATTGAGTTTAAACGCCTTTGAAAAAAAAAACATTAAACATTGACATTAAAGATAATTAATGCGTTAATTATTTAATGTAATCAATATAAAACGAGGAAATAGTTTCAGTGTTTAACAATTTAAAAACTAATTTTAGTTTCTTCACACATGTGTAATTCTATTATACTAGTAATTAATTGCAATTCTACGCTTGGTAGGAGTAAAAATTTTTCCTTCGAAGTAAAAAAACCTTTGCTATAGGAGTACGTTACAACACAAGTGATATGACTGCAGTTAAATTAATCAGTATAACGTTTCTTACCCTTTGGTCATCAGATTATTACTCTTTTTCAAAAAGAAATAATTAAAAAAACCGAACATTGTAAACACATTAAGAAACTGCTATCTAATTATATAACCGAATAAAACGATTTTTTAAAAAAAGTATCTTGTATGATGGACAGCTGCTATTCAATAAAANAGTATCTTGTATGATGGACAGGTGCTATTCAATAAATGCTTTAAAAGACAATGAATTTAATAAAAAAAGTGTAATTTTTTATAAAAATGAAATATTAGTAAGAAATATAAAAAAACAATGAATTGAAATAGTTTTTCTTTAAATTTAAACGTCAGGAGAATTATTTTTTGCTACATGATCCAGAATTTAATAACTGGACATGATTAATCATTGTTTTTGGAACTACATGAGCTAAATCAAAGCGAAAAAAAAATGCAATAACTTTCCGTCAATCTTGAATGGTTTTTGAAAATTGATTGTTTTGTATAGCTAACATACAAGCTTTACAGTTTTACATAACGGTCCTAATGTGTTCGTGACAGTGTCATAGACGTTTCCCATCTTTTTCCGATAAGGAACTATTAAAAAGACTATATTTTCCCATTTAATATTCCGTACTTTAACGGAAAGATCCGACCGAATAGAACAGTTCACGTTTCTATGTGATTGCAGTGGTGCGCGACCATAATGATCAAAAATTAACTCTTTATGTGGATCCCAACGAGCCGTGTCATAACGATGTTTTACTATTTATTCGATGGTTTACATTTTGTGCATTAAACGTAACTAATTACATTTTTGTGACATGTGACTCATTCTGGAGAAGAAAGAAAGGCGTAGACACTTAAAACATTATTGTCTGTTTCTGAAGGTTTTAAAATATAATCGTATCACCTATAACATACTTGAAGATAGTGCTCTATATGCTTTATGAACGTTATTTTTCATTACTTAAGTAAAAAAATATTTATAATTGATAATTTGAAAAGTTCAAACAAATATTTTGATTCGGGATCTCAACTTTTATTTATATTTCAGCGCCGTTAAGTTATTAATTGCGTGTTTGCATACACGCAATACATAAAGATATTAGTCCCCAATAATTAAAAAACATTATATATATTTGAATATGTTAAAGCTTTTATGGATTGTTATATTGTAAATATTCTATACAATACATGTACAATATTTACAGACATGAATAATTGTGGATATTTAAAAAATTTTATACATTTTTATATAAAAAAAAATTTTAGGGTCAGGTAAAAATAAATTTAGCACACTCAAAATTTTACTATAGTTTCGCCTATAATTAGGAGACCCTTTATATTAATGATATTTCTTCCATACAAGAAGACCATATTTGTCAATAATCATCCCAAAAGAGGATATAGGGAGATGCTATGATCTATTTATATTTAATCATTTTAGTCAGTATTAAATAAACAAATATTTAAAAATTAGTACATCTTAGGCCCTTGAACTGAATGAATTATCTAGTCCAAATATCAATATCGTTGATATTTAATATTGCTTTTGTTAAAAAACATAATCTATATTTTGTTTATGTTTTCAATCGTTTTATCAATCCAAGTATTAAATTCTTGACTGTGTTTATGGTTGAATACATCGTTAATATTTGATCGTTGATCAAATGGACCAGAACTAGGTAGTTTACGATTAGTACACTCGTGAGTCGTGAAGAATTTATTTTATTCAATTAAATATGTCAGCAGATCAATGAGACATTAAATATCAAACAGTATCTATGTTAATATTGGCACAATGTATTACTGTGTGGATATATTTTTTATGTATTAAAACTATCAATATGATTTACTTGCTAAATATTTCATTTAAAACGATTCAATAAATTACTGATTGATGTAGTTATGTTTTATGTATTTTATCATAACCTGTCATGTTATGCACAAGTGAAAATAATAATATTACAAAACAAACTATATAAACATGATAGATAAAATGAGTTAATTGTCTATTACCATAGAAATAACAAATTATTTTTTATTGAACACCTACTGCTAAAATATTTAAGTAGATAGTGAGCGTGCATATTGTTAGAAAATTACTTAATTTGTTGTTTCAAGTGAAACTCGTTTAACTTGTTATTATAGACGATAAACTTTGATAGTACAAAAACTAAATATTGATCTTAAAATTTAAAAGTTAAATTTACATAATGAAGAAGATAAATACAAATATTTTAAGTGTGTTAGAAGATGTGAAATAATAATACTCAGAGAAACTGTTATCGTAAAAAAAAATTTCTGTACTGTTTTCTTTTTTATGTTCAAAACTTGTATCATTGTAAAATCAGTTATTTTTAGTTTACATTGAACTTACTCTTAATTAAGTACGCTTTTACTAGAATACAAAAATGATTTAAATAAGAGTTATTTGTACAGATTTAAATTTTTATGAAATATTAAATTTTTTCCGTTTTAAAAACTTTTTGTGAATTTTGTACAAAATGATGTAATAATTATAACTTAAGTTAACTAAAAATTAAGGCGATTCAAAATTATTATTTTTCGATTAAAGACGATATATATCGATTAATTATATTAATTAATTATTAATATACAATGGTGATTTTAATTATTTACTATAAAGTTAATATTTTGTATTCCATTTTTGAGCAACTAAAATTTCATAATTTTATTTCAGTTAAGATTGGAAAACAAATTATAAAAAGGTTCAATAAATAATTTGTTTTCCAATCTGTTCAATGTCTGTTGTAGAATTTCCTAGATTGAATTTGTGTGTAAAGAAGAGTTAGGTTACAAAATATCATTTTCACTTGACTGGACTTTTTTTGTACTAAAGAAACTTTACGCTATTTTAAAGGTTATTAATAATATTATTACCATTACCAGAACTATATGCATGGTAAATTTTGTNGACGGGCCTTTTTTTGTACTAAAGAAACTTTACGCTATTTTAAAGGTTATTAACCATTACCAGAACTGTGAATTATATGCATGGTAAATTTTGTTAAGTTAATCCAGACATACAATCAACTAATACAAATGTTTATTAATTGTCTAGAAAATTTAGTAATGTTTTTTTCTAATGTTATAGTTTTAGAAGGGTTAATTCCCATCAAAACGAAAAATATTTCTGCGTTACTTACTACGACAGTTACACAAATTTGGGACCCTTTAAAATGGATCAAGCAAACATTATAATTGTATATAATTTACAGCCCTGAATAATACCCACTATTATTATTAATATTACTATATTTTCAATGTCTAATTTTATATGTGTCGTTATTTACTTTAAAATATATATATAAAAAAAATTAAAGTTTCATCTTGTACTTTGTCTCTTATGTAAGATTTTTAATGACCTTAATGAATTTTGAAAGATAAGTGGATGTCCTACCGAACGTTAAAACGTCTATGATATTAATTATTTTATGAACTCATTTTGGTTTTTGGTCTAAATAGTATGATGTCTCACATTTTAAGTCTTATATTGGTCTTACAGTATAGAATTTCTATTTTTAAAACTAAAGTTTGAAATGAGAAAAGTTTTCAAAATAGATGTTAAAATTATTAATGTCTACTAACCTAGTAGTATAGGGGTGCATCTCGACCACATGATCCAAACGTATCCTCGGTTGAGTTTTGCTGATGGTACTGACCATTAACAACGCACATTACCAAACGCGAACCGAAGCGAACCGTAAGTATTTCGGGGCTCGCGGATACTGCAGTGGTGTTAGTGCGGTACGAAGTCAGGCCTTGGTCGACTCTGCCGCCAAGTCGTGGGAGTACCGCGCGGTTACCATTTAGTTAGTATAGTTGTCGGCATGGCATGGAGGAGGTGGTTCGTTGGGCAACGAGAGATGGAAAGAAGAAAGAAAGAGAGACGGGACTCTCCCCGTTTGTGGCATGTCTGCTCAGAAGAAAGTGAATCCGTACACGACGACCGTGGGCAAGGACGCCTTAAGATGACGTCACATATACACCAACAGAAATTCAGATGTTATTTTTTATTATTACTGCTTTTAAACGTTCGCCTACGCCTAATCAAAAGTCGTGAAAATCTCTTAAAGTCTTTTACCAGATTTATAATAGATGATAACATTACAATAGTTAAGTTTTGTTAATATGATAACTGTATAAAAGCAATTTAAAGCATCTGCAATAAAAACTGTATACAGGAAAAGCGAAGGAAAAATTCATAGTAATTTAATATTATTGAAAGTAATTTATATTTAACTCAAATGTAGAAAATAAACGGTTTATATTCTTGAACTATAAAGCAGAGCATTTATGTAAAATTCAAGTTTTTAATTTCTATGGTTTTTAATAAGAATGAGTTGCAAATAAGTTAATATATCACATAAAATTGTTCTTATAACAAAATAGTTTTATCAAAAATTCAAATTCATGGTAAATTGTTTACTGAAATTTTTATTATTTAAAATAACTAATGTAAATTTGCAAACATAATCAACAATTTAACATTTTTATTTAAAAATCTTATTCATTTTATATTTTAATAGTAATTTTACGAACATTCGTCTTTCTTTATCATTGTATAAAGTGACTACATTTACGGATAGCATGCATATGCGTACCCGTGTTATTAATTTGGTTCTAAAATACAGTCTTCTGACCTCAGCATCTCAAGATCTAAAAAGAAAGAAGAAATAGACCCAATATTCTATCTTACCGTACTACATATTTATGCGCACTAAAAAAAATAAATGAAATGGCCTCTCTGATTGTGTAATGTAGTATTTTAAATAAACATAAACAATGAATGATATTTGTTCTAATTTTATGAGTTTTTAGCTCAGAAAGAATTATTTAATTCAAAAAGAACGTTATAGTTTCTTTTAGAGGCATAATTCTTATAATTTACATTTTACTATTTTGTCGCTAACCGGTTGTTGAGTGAAACGTTTTGAGATAGATTTTATAACTATGAGGTTGAAAGATATTAAAAAGTTCGAATTTTTTAATATAAGTTCATAAAAAAGAGTTAGAATTAACAAAATCATTCAAATATTAGTTTAACAATATTTAAATATCATTAATACTACTAACTTTTTCATATCTTATGACATCAATAAATATGTAAGAGTGCACTGGCTGACTGATTCATGAGATTGAATATAAAACATATAAAAAAGAGAGTGGTTTGACTATTGCTACATGAATTATTATTTATTATTCAGAATGAACATCGCTGTATATGAAACGAACTTGAAGAAACAACGAATTCAATTTGGTGTCAAATTATTTCTTATACGAATATTCGTGACCTCGAGAAATTGAACTGCCCAGGAAAAGTATGTATATCTATCATAAATTGGATTCAGTTGATAAGGTGAACAGTGAAATCTTACTCAAAATTAGAAATAAATATAACGATAAAAAATGTTCTTATTCAAGAACAATTCTTATACCCTTCGGTTTTTATAAATTAATATGGTAATCATCTAAGTATTTTAATGATCTATAAAAATCAAATAATTGCAACATTTATTAATAATGTTAACTAATCTTAATAAATATTTTCAATTGAACCTTCAATAATTTTCTCGTGAGTAAAATTTTACAAATACTACATAGAATTTCTTTTTCTTTATACGATTGTTTTACAATCATTGCTCACATTGTTACTTATGAAATAAGAATATAATATCTAAGACAATATTAACTTTACTGAAACAATTGAAAATATCACCTTCAAACGTAATTTTTATTTTAGTATAATACCAACTTCACTTTTATAGATTTAACTCTTTTACCGTTTTGTAGAAACATTATATTTACATTCTTATATATAGTAATACCTAATAAATGTGAGACTAAGATGCTAATTTTAAAAAAAAGAAAAGTCTTTAGATATTTGTTGTGGTCATTTAAGAATTTAAGCTTGAGGTTTACCGGAGGTTATATTTATTTTAAAGAAATTCTGGTTAAGTAATTATGGGGCGAATGAACTCCCCTTGCTTTTATGACCTTGTAATACAACCCTAAAATACTTTTGTCGAGAACATAGTGCTGTTGTAATAGTATGAACATATAAAGAACAAAGACCCGTCTTGTAAACTTGTATTCGAAAATATATAAGAACACAATCACTTGGCTGTGTTAGCTGCCCTTTTCAAACAATAATCTATAGTTAATTAGTTCTGGAATTTTTTCTGGTTACCGACAATAATGTTTTGGATTTGTTACCTAATACACTAAATACATTGACAAAAAGAGTTCGAGTAACTTATAAGCTTAAAGAACTAATTTATTAAGTGTAACAAAATACGTAAAATTATAAATAAATTAACATTAAATTATCTAACATAAAAATTAATCCTATCAACTTATACAGGTACAATAAATAAAAAATATAAATATATATATTGACGTTCTAATAACAGCACAGTCTTTTGTTATACAGCGATGATCGTGTGGTTGACATTTTCAATTCACCTTCTATCATCAATCCTAAAAGAATAGTATTTCAAGTTTTAATAAGTCATTCATCAATTAAATAAATAAATTTAAGTATTATGCTATCAATATTTATATGCAGATGTCCCACCGTGATTTACTAAATTTAACATTAGGTAATGTAGTCAAATTAGTAAATCACGGTGGGACATCTGTATAGTTTTATTATTATTTAAAATTAAAATTATATAAAAAATATTATCAATTTAAAATTAAAAAGTATTAAACTCTAAAAGCCACAAAAAAATACGATATGTATTTCGAAAACAATGTTACTATTATTAACACTAAATACATATTGACACCCCGACCGGAAAAACTCCCTTTTATACCCCTTAGTGACCTTATTATCTAGAGACGTTATCACTAAGTAATATTATGACATTTGCTAGTTTACACAAGTTTAATAATGAATTTTTCAGTGGGCCAAGATCCCAATTAATTAAATTGTACTTATTTTTAAACATTTCTATTGCCTCCCTTATATTAAGTTCTTTGTATTTATTTACATTTAACGCTAGTTTTATGGTTTTAATTGAGTGATTATGTGTCAACAAATGTCCAGCCACCGGTAATTTATCAACTTCTTGATTTTTAATATTTCTTAAGTGCTCTTTAAACTTGATCCCTATACTTCTTTTTGTTTATCCTACGTAACATTTATTACAACTTTTCCATTGTATTTTATAAATGCCTGATTTCCCCCTTCTTCTACTTTATCTTTAGAGTTACCTAATAAATCTCTTAAATTATTACTCTTAGATGTTACTATATAACAAAATTCTTAAAAATTCTAGCTAGTCCATTTGAGATGCCTGGATAATATAAAATAGACGATCTAATTACTTTTTATTCACCCACGCTATTGAGTGTACTAGATGATTCCTTTCTTTATTCCACTTTTGTGTTCGGACTAATTTTGAAATTACGTTTTCGTTATACTCATTAAATCTAGCTATTTTCTTATAACCCTTAGTTCTTTATCAAAATCTATTTTATTCATCGGAATTTTAACTAATCTTATTTATTATATAATAAGGTTTTTATTATATAATTATATTATTCAGTAATATAATTACTAAGTAAATGTGATAATATTTCTTACAGTAAAATAATTTTTATATTGATAACGCAAAATCACTGAATTTAGGTTTTATTCTTGTTATAAAATGGATGGATGTTAAAGGCCTTGATTTATAGAGACCTAAAAAATTAGGGATTACACCTGTTATTTTGAGGTTTTTAATCTATAATATTATAATTATTTGCAAACTAAAATTATCATACTGTAGATTTTTATTTAAATATGTAGAAACTATTTTATAAATTCTTAATTAAAAATAATTAAAAAATCATAGTAATACATAAATATTATTCCATTTCTTAATAAATTTAAGATGTATGTTTGTTTGAACTACTCACCATGTCTTTATAATATTTTTGTTTAAAATAGTAGCAAATTTTTCTAAACTTACTTTGATTTTTATTTACAATTAAAAAAAAATACATTATAGTAAAATTAATACTATCTCAGCTTCGCATCGAAGCTAAAAAAATTAATTCAAGTTACATTGGTATTTAAAAGATGAGTTATTTATTTAAATACTTTTTCCGTATTATGATCTTGATACAGATATTGTATTTCACTATAATCTTAACACTAAAATATAAATAACTCATTACCTCTTGTTATCAGATATCCATACTGCGTGTTCATTTACAGGGGTATAAATCAGTGACCCTACACCAACGCCTGTTTGGATTCCAGCCAGTCTATCATCACACCATAACCCACTTCCAAGTCGACCTTCTTTCTAAAAAAGAAGTCATAAAGTATTATTAGTTAATTTTAAATCACCTGTACACTTGTTTAATAAATAAATATTAAATATTATCTAAAAACAACTTTATTTTGTGAATTCGAAAATAAAGAACATTGATTAATAGAATGTATACTTTACTTATTTAAAAAATATAAATGTAGGAAGTGTATTTCAAAATAACTTTAAGTTTATTGCGCCTGACAAATATTTTTATGACTAAAAATTAACACGAACTCACATTATATTGCATCCTCCAACGGTTGCATGGTAAAATGTAATAGGAACTTTTAATAAAATTTCGTGACGAAAGTCTATCCTCACAATTTTCTACTGAAAACAAAATAAAAACCATTATATAAAATAATTTATTTACTTTATTTTCTTATTAATATTATTTTTAAACACACCATTTTTTACGGTATTTTTGGTTATTGATCCTTGAAAATTCTTACACACTTGATTTGTAACATTATTAGTTTGAATACACGTATGACAAACCTCATCAAAAAGGGGTTCTGACAAACTGACAAGAGCTGGAAAAAGTTATTTGAAGAACATTATTACCCTCACTTTACATAAAATGTGTTGTCTCACCTAAATCATTATGATCGGGTGCATTTTTTAATGCCGGAGACTTAAAATCTTCGTGCACTAAAATGTTTGAAATACCGAGACCTTGAATTCCATTCAACGTTTTACGGCTAACCAAGACTTTTCTCAAACCAATTTTATGTAATCTACATTATCAGTTATTAGTTTTATGATTTATATAGATTTATTATTCTATTATTCTAATTATAATAACTATTGAATAATAAATAAAACTTATTACTAATGGTGTAATTTCTCCTCTTTTTNAAATAAAACTTATTACTAATGGTGTAATTTCTCCTCATTTTAGGCATGAGAACTTTGACACAAATTAATTTACTCTTATAAATTTTTATTTATGTCTTTTTTTTGTAAATCATATTTATCATATTTTAAATAAATATTATTTTTGTGGGTCATTAAAAAATAGTCCGAAAAAAATGTTTATTGGTTAAAAATATTTATTTTTTTCTGATGTTATTTAATTGGGAAAATTTAATAAAACTCTGTTTAAAATTTTAATGAAATTTATTTTCAGTTACCTGGAAGCACAAGTAGCTGATGTAAGTATCCATATATCATCGATAAGTGATCCGTAGCATATTGGCTTTTTATTTTCAATAAATGTTACTTCGCTCTTACATGCTTTTTGGCAATCAATTTTTTCTGATTTGATTTCAACTTCGTCTTCCAACTCCACTGATTGTGGCTCGTCTGAATTCTCAGTTTTCAATTCAATTTCTTTTTCACTTTCTTCGATAGGCTTTATTTCTTTTTTACTTTCTTCGATTGGTGTAATTTCTATATTATTTTCTTCAGTAGTAATTTCTTCTGTTTTGGGCGCATCAATTATAACAGTATCTTGTGTGTTTATTTCGTCATTCACTGGATTTTCAGTTCGAGCAAAGTTTTCATCTGAAGGTTTTTCTGTATCAAAGTCATTATGCACAGTAATGTCTACCGGCTTAATATGTTTAGCAGTTTCGCTAATAAATTGCTCTATTATTTTTTTCACAGCATTTTCTATATCATGTAACTTTTCTAATTGATCAGTATTAGATTGTGTAGGATCTACTTGTCCCCATGCATTTTTCAACATTTTTCTATTTTTAAGTTCAGTGAAAGGAATTGTGCTCAGATTGTTTCCGGCGATATTTGCAGGTGTATTGGTCNTTTCTTTTTTACTTTCTTCGATTGGTGTAATTTCTATATTATTTTCTTCAGTAGTAATTTCTTCTGTTTTGGGCGCATCAATTTTAACAGTATCTTGTGTGTTTATTTCGTCATTCACTGGATTTTCAGTTCGAGCTAAGTTTTCATCTGAAGGTTTTTCTGTATCAAAGTCATTATGCACAGTAATGTCTACCGGCTTAATATGTTTAGCAGTTTCGCTAATAAATTGCTCTATTATTTTTTTCACAGCATTTTCTATATCATGTAACTTTTCTAATTGATCAGTATTAGATTGTGTAGGATCTACTTGTCCCCATGCATTTTTCAACATTTTTCTATTTTTAAGTTCAGTGAAAGGAATTGTGCTCAGATTGTTTCCGGGGATATTTGCAGGTGTATTGGTTCTATTATTATATTTACAGCAAGAAAAAGGTGCACTCGGAGTAAACGCACGTTTAAGTCCATCGCAGTGTCCGATGGGATCTGGTAAAAAATCATCGTCTGTTGTACAGTCGGGTCCCAAAAGACAATAACCGGTGTTGTTTCCACATGTTTTGACTCCAGATATGACAAACAAGCCTAAAAGAATAGTTTTTAATTTTTATTGACTATAAATAATTAATTATTTATTAAAACATTTAAAAAAATGATGAAGCAAAATTTACAACTTCACAACNTAAAAAAAATGATGAAGCAAAATTTACAACTTTACAACTTTTTTTTTATAAACTTGAGTAAAATATAATTAAATAATCAATGAGTTCTAAAGTTAAATAATTTAATTTTTAGCTGAAATACCTGGATCGACCAGTGGTAAACCTGTAGCAGGCATAGAAACTACAACACATACTATTGTACATAAAATCAACATAATGAAGACGTTGTTGACTGATCTAAAACAGAAAAGAGATTGAAACGGGTGTCTGCGGTTTGGCGGAAATAACAAGTCATGTAAACGAATGTCATCCAAATGTTGGCATGTCTAGTGTCTTAAAGTGACATATTGGACCACACCGATGAGTCATTTGCCCCTCGTAAAGCACCGTAAAAAGAAAGAAACAAATTTAACAAAATCATCACCTAAGACACGCCCGCCTTAGTTGGTTTACATTGATATTCATGATATATGATACATTCGGACGGACACGTAGTGCAGTACCGTAACTTTAATTGTGCACAACAATAATATAGTCTGCTGCTAAGTTCTATGACCTTACTAAGCTGACCCAAATAATATATGCGAATTGTGGGACGAATGAAAATTTGCATATTTCATTTTCTCTGCATGGCTGAGATATAGAGACGGTGCTAACATTGAACCCGGTCATTGTCGTCTATTGTGAAGTACAAAGATCACCGACCAGAAGTTATGAAAATAAATTCTACTTGAAAGCTCGTTAATTTTGTATTTATTATTAAACTATAAAAAAACTTTTAGTCGAGACTATTAAACCAAATTAAATCTAATTATATGTTAATATAAAATTAAGCTTGTTCGAAGAAATTTAACTTATAAGTTCTTACTAACTTATATATATATATATA